GAAAAAAAGTCAAGCATCTTTTCTCTTTGTTCATAAGTAGCACATTTTGGGTTAAATATTAATAATTCTATACACTATACATTTGGACAATGCCTTATTACTCATTACAGAATAATTTTGGACAATTTCTCTCCATTTTTCATCTGTCCCCTGTGGGGAACAGATGAAACTCTGAAGAAAGGCAGGGCAGTTGCTTATTTCTGTCATGCAATTGAGTAAACTACAACATGAAGAGGCTAAATCAGATCTTCTTAACTCTGTGAATTTCATAAAATCCTATGTTAAATAATTTATGATTGAATGGGAGTTTTTTCAGGTAGCAGGTCAGTTTTAATTGCATTTTCGAAGGAGTCTATGACTCCCCCAAACGGTAAAAAAATACATGGGTTAAATGATTTCATAAAGCCTAAGGTCACAGGGTTAGTATTAAAGATATTTATAAAATACTTTGCTAAGATGGAGACGTTATTAAATATAGCCGTTGGGCAGTTACTCTGTAATCTACACGGGTGTTACTTTTTCAGATGAGTAAATCAAGAATTGTCGTCTTTACAAGCCCTAGCACAGACTTGCCACAGAAGTGAATCCGATGTAACAACTATGCAATCTGATGTAACATACCTTACCATTTTGGGTACTCTATCAAGAATAAAAATGAGACAGCTTGATGTAGGGTGGAAAGTCAAGGATGAGCTGAGAACGGGATTTTCACTTCTCCTGGACCACTGAATGTCTCCGAGTGTTCCTTCTCTCATCAGGGAAAGGGAGGATTGAATTAGAGGGCTTCTCAGAATTCTTCCAGCCCTAACATCGTATACAGTTGGATGGGATTTAAAATAAGTCTTGTGTATGAACTCTTCACACAGTTTGTTAACGTCAGCCTCATTTTCCCAAGGAGAAATGCCTCCAGCGCCCAAGGGTGGGTTACTAGTCATTGGCCCCAAGAGGTCGGGGGGACCCACCAGTCCCGCCTGAGGGCCAAGCCTGCCGTCTCCCTTCTGCTGAAGTAGGGGTGGGGGGTGGCGGCAGAGAAAGCTACCGAAGGCCAAAGGGCCAGGGGCACTTCAAACACAAGTGCTCTGAATCCTTTATTTAGGAATGAAGGAAGGCGGGAACGCCCAAACGCGGTTGGTGCCAAGGGATGGCTTAAACCGGGTGGGTAGGTTGAACGTTGCGGGTGTAGCCCCGGCCCGGAGGCGGTTGAAGGGCGGGAAGCGCCCGCCTCCCGCGTCCCCTGCGGCCAGGGCCTGGCAGGGCGCAGCGGAGGAGGCGGGGCCACCCCTGGGAACCTTCCGGCCCCGTCACGTGACTCAGCGCCGGGCTCCTCCCCGCCCCGCCCAGCGCGCATGCTCGCGGCTCTGGGCGCTGAAATTCAAATTTGAACGGCCGCAGGAGGCCGAGTCTGACACTGGAGGCTGAGGGAAGAGGAGGGTTCGCTGTGGGAGAGTTCCCCTGTCCTAGACTCCTTTTCCCCAGGAGATACACTGAGCCGAAACTCACTTTTCTCTTCCTGAATTTGAACCACCGTTTCCATCGTCTCGTAGTCGACACGCGACGCCTGGGGCCATGGACCCGTTTACGGAGGTGAGAAACTCTGCGGGTGCAGCCAGCCATGACCCCTCTTGGCCCCCACCTTCCCTTCCTACTGTCAACCTCTGGGCCCACCCGGCGGGGAGCGCGTGCGCGCGCGTGCGCAGTGTGTGCGTGCGAGGGTCGGGCGGGGGTCCGGCGCCGGGCGCCCGCCAGGCCGGAGAACTCGAGAGGGGACCACGGCCTGTGCGTCTCGGTTGCGTCCGCGGTTTCGTTTTTGTTCCGGTCTTGCAGATGAAACTCTGGGAGGAAAGCTATGAGTCTGTCCTGAAAGGCAGTAGTGAAAACACTCTTGTCAGTCCCCGTTATTATAACGCTCGTCTCTAGTCCTGTCTCTCAGCCGGCCACCCCCGAGAGTGAGGTTTGGGCCCGACGGAACAAGTTCTGCTGGAACAAGCTGGAATACCTTGCAGGGTGGAGTCTGGTGGCCAAGTGACTCAGTGCTGTGTGTGCAGCCGCCGCCTGGAAAGGGAATGGGATGTGATTTGCGGAGTTCACGCGGCCCGCAGGGTAGCTATGCATTTAAGGGTGCTGTTAATGACAGCAAAACGTTAAAATAGGCAGGTGCTTGAAACCATTGTATTCGTTCAGAAAAGGCAGTAGTTCCTTCAGAGCCCATTGCTCAACTAGCTAGCGACGTTTACCTGGGATTGACACTTTAGATGAAAGGAAACAGTGCCGCCTAGCCCAATGTGTATAAACCAAAATTTTCAGCCCACGATTTAAAGAAAAAAAACACAGCGTAAAGAACTAAATCTTTCGGTGTCTGCGGAGCATATCATTACAACAATACTTACCTCATCTTTCATTCCTTGGAAATAGGATATAGATTATGTCATTATTGTGTTGATTATTAATCTAGCTTTAGCTGTTGAGAATGTTATGCTGACACATTCAGAGGTGTCTCGTTGCCAGTTGTCCACTCCCTTTTCTTCCAGGACAGTTCCTCTTTCTTTAGGCTGTTGTGCAAATTTCAAACTGTTATTTTTTGAATGGTTGCAAAGTGGGCCGAATAGTGTCTCTATACTAGCTTCAAAAACTTGAATGCTATGGGGAGTAGTAACACTTTCTTTTGGGGAGGATACAGTTATAATTCCATAAGTTAAGTCAAAGATATTGATGAAAGGTTTCAACAATTAGAGTTTACTTGTATTCCAACATGACAGGTATCTATTTTTCTGCTTCAAATTCTCAGTCACATTGGGGAAAACACATCAATTTGTTTACCTTACTTGGAAATTTTAATAGAAAAATTCAGAGCATATTTTTGTATTAGCTTTAAAGAGTAGGGCTGGTCATGCGCTAAATATCTTTAACTTACACTGAAGTTAAACAGGATATATTATTTTATGTTACTAATTCAGAGTAGGATTCCTTAAAACATAAGCCCTATATGTTCTCCTAAGTAACTGACAGCAGCAAAGCACTTTGAAAGTTGGCTGAAAATTGTATTTTGTTTTACTTAAAAATGTCATTCTGAAGCTAGCACAAGTTTAGAATGTACTCAGAAATATGTATGGTTTCATATGTATGGTTTATATTATGAAAAGTTAGGTCAGTTGCAGTTGGAATAAACAGCTTTGACATCTTTTCCTTAATTGGTAATGAGTGAACCATTTGAATTGGTTCCAACTATTAGGTACTTAATTAGAGCATTCATAACATTTTGCACAGTGAAATGAACTTCTGGTACAGTTTCTTTGTCTTAAAAGGACTAAAAGTCAGTATAAAATGACTTTCTCAATCAGAGTTCCTTCTCAGAACCGTGGGATGCAGAAAATTATTTAAGAAACTATTTTCTCAATTCTCCCAAGGGTAATTCATAACCGATGCCATCCTACAAACATAGGAAAGAAATTAATTCATTACATTAATGCCAGGGTATTAGGGCTTAATTCTTTTGATAATTCCAGTTTAGAAGGGCTACAATCATCCTAAACTCTTTTCCTCAAACAAGACTTCTTAGCTTGTCCTCCTCCCTGCTGTCACTGGTGCTATTCTGGCATACTCTTCCTTTCCCTGCCTCAGCTGCCTGACAAACTCTGATTCCACCTCCAGCTCCATTTGATCTCCCTTGTTCTGAGGGGAGATCACCTTTCACAATGCTCACCTCACTTGAATCTACCTGTTCAATGCATTTACCTGTTGAACATGTTTCCTGCCAGAATGTGAGCTTTATGAAGGCAGAGAAGGTTCTTTTCTATTCAGAGATATTAATATTTTCCCTAACATCAAGCATATCCAATAACATTTTGCTGAATTAACGTAGAAGAGAGCTATTAGGTACAAATTATTTTACAAACAAATAATTACATGCAACAGTAACTGTTAGAACATTTTAGCAGTGTTCTTTTTTTATCAAAGAAAATTTCAAAATACATTGAGTTGAGTAGTATAATAACCCCTTATTAGGCTGATCATGATGGCTCATGCCTGTAATCCTAGCACCCTGGGAGGCCGAGGCAAGAGGATCACTTGAGGTCAGGAGTTTGAGACCAGCCTCAGTAAAAGTGAGACCCCCGTCTCTACTAAAAATGGAAATAAATTAGCCGAGCAACTAAAAATATAAAAAATTAGCTGGGTGTGGTGGTGTAGGCCTGTAGTCTCAGCTGCTCGGGGAGGCTGAGGCAGGGGGATTGCTTGAGCCCAGGAGTTTGAGGTTGCTGTGAGCTAAGCTGGCGCCATGGGCACTCTAGCCTGGGCAACAGAGTGAGACTCTGTCTCAAAAAAAAAGAGACTATAACCTCTCATTATCCAACTTTTGCCATTTCAACATGTGGCCATTTTGTTTCACTGTATCCCCCTCTTACCTATCCTACTGACTTATTTTGAAGCAAATTCTACACATCATATAATTTTATACCTGAATACTTCAGTATTTATCACTAAATGCTAACTAAAGACTTTAAAAAAATATGCCGGGTTATTGCACCTAAAAAATTAAAAATAATTTCTTAATATCATCAGATATCTGTCAATGTTCATTTCCCCAAGTGTTTCATGTTTAGTTGTTTGTTTGAATCAGGATCTGGACAGGGTCCAGTGGGCAATGTCTTTTAATGTTCTTTATGGACCAACCAGAAATGAAAAAAGAATCCATCTCCTGCTGACTTACGGACTAACAAGCAGCCAAGGCAGACATCTATTATGAACAACTGATAACATTCAAAAATTTTGTTGAAGAGGTGAAGCTAGTTAGTTCGGCTGACAGTAAGTTCTTAAAAAGAACAATTGGATTTAGTCAAGAGACAGTTTATAGCAAAATGGTTAAGAGCCCAGCCTTGGGAGCCTGGTTGGAATCCTGCCTGCCAATTCTTAGCTATGTGACTTGTGGTGTGTTATTTAACCTGTACCTCAGTTTCTCATCTGTAAAACAGTAGTAGAAACAGAACCTACCAAATCAGGTTTGAGAATGAAATAGTGTGTGCCAGACATGGAAAGTACTTTATATTAAATCCTACATAATCGTTAATGATTGTTGTTATACTTGTTAGGTGAATTTAAAACCGTCAACTTACTACTCATAACATCACTGTTAGCCTTTTAGTTTGAAGCTCTGCTGGCATGATGGTCATCCCAGTCTAAGAATACTACAGGGAAAGCCAGAGCTAGATGTGCTAAGCCAGAACTTTGCATACAGAAGCCTTAAAAGAGAAAAAGCTACAATTAAAATACTTTGTAAAAACATCTTTTATTGTGAGATACTTTTAAGTCCTATGTATGCAGACTGAATGTAAACAAGTAAACAAACATATTGCTACTGATTTGAATGGAATTTCTCTTATTTTCCAGAATTATTTCTTTTTTTAGAGACAGGGTCACACTCTGTTGCCCAGGCTGCTCTTGAACTCCTGGCCTTAAGCGATCCTCCTGCCTCGGTCTCCTGAGTAGCTGGGATTATAGATGCCCGGCTGTATTTTCCAGAATTAAATGAAAGTCTCTGTGTTGACCTGGAAAACAGCTGCTAGAACATATTGAAAATAACAACAAGCTAATTTGTATTGATTCTATTCTATTTAAGAAGGCAGAGAAATTAATAATATCTCCTAGAAAAATTTCTATCAGAAACAATTTGGGGTGTGTGTGGCAAAAATTGTTTAGGGACTATAAGCTTCAGTTATCTGAGATTCATACATGTGGAATATCTTACTTCCTGATTATGCCTCTACTGTTTGAAGAATAAGGTGTGATATTTGAAGGAATGTATCTTATATTTGAAAGAATTCTTAAATTCCTGATACACTATTACAAGAAAGCGCTGCTTATCTGTATTGAGTGCTACTTATATTTATTGAGCTGTTGAGTTTATGTGCTTAAGATACATTATTCCTTTTAAATTAATAACCTTTAGTGCGTTTTAGCTTTATTTCACAGATTAGGGAACTTTTTTGGCTTATCTACTTTAATTTTTTTTTTAATCTGGGATTTTTTTGAAACTAATGTAATCAGTAGAACACTTGTACGTGTTTGAATGACAAAACTACATTCTTTTGTTGTAACCCATTGCTCATGGGAACTGAAGCTATAATGACTCACAAATGTTCTAACTGACCAGAATGGAATGTGGGCATGTCCATGAGTGAATATAATTAGGCTAGTGTTGTATCTGGGGAATGATGTTTTTTACCATGGGGGAAATTATCAGACATATATGAATTTGTATAACAATATGGTCATTCTTGGGTTTGTTAAAGGAGACTTTTATTTAGAAGGCGAAAGTCGTGTGTTTGGAAGGCATTTGATTCGTAAATTATTCTTTTAATGATGCAGCATATCAGTTTAGTGTCACTTCTTTCAGTGAACTTTAAATTAGAAATCATTCCTAAGAAGAGCAGAGAGTTGTACCTTCTTTCAAATTCAACTCTTGTTTCTTTTATATACTCAGAAATTTTTAGAAATTGTTAGCCTAATTTAATTAATTATTAAATTATTTGTTCTTTTCTTTTTTTTTTTTCCTTCTATGTGTGATGGTTGGTCTTGAGCCTGCAGGGAGCAAGCTGGCTCCAGACTTCTTGAAGTCCATGTTTCTTTGCTTTCAATGCTTACATGTCCAAAGATAGGGAACCACAGACACACCTTTGTAGGAGAGGTTTTATTATTTTTCAGAGTTGGTGTCTCATTGTGTTGCCCAGGCTGGACTCAAACCCCTGGGCTCAAGTGATCCTCCCACCTCAACTTTCTGAGTAGCTGGGACTACACACCTTGGCTTTGTTAACCCTATTTTAATTAAGGAATTAAAAAAGGTCAAATGGAATTTAATTCCTCAGTCTGTACTAACTACCGTATGTGTGTGTGCAGGGCAGTAATAATAATCTGCATCTCTCCTTTAGCTGTGTACATTTGAAAGAGAATAAATTGTTTTACATGGTCTTATGTATTTTACTATACTGACTCAAAGTAGAAACATCAGTTTAGGGTAAGAAAAGAGGAGTACTCAAGATTTTAGGAAATAGCTTCAACTTAAAACTATTTGATTATATATTGACATTTAATTAAAACATAAGATTGTTTACTTTTTTTTCCTCTTGGGAAGCATTTTATCTTTTCAAAGGACTAATATGTCTTTTATCTCTCACTGCTTATCACCAACCCAAATTTTAGTGGCTATGTTAGTTTTGCTGCTGTAACACATTACTACAAACTTAGCAGCTTAAATAACACATATTTATTACCTTACAGTTCTGTAGGTCAGAAGTCTGAAATGGATTTTACTGGGTTAAAATCAAGGTGTCAGCAGGATTGTGTTTCTTCTGGAGGCTCTAGGGGAGAATCTGTTTCCTAGTCTTTTCTAGCTTCCAAAGGCCGTCTGCTTTTCTTGGCTTATGGCCCCTTCCTCTCTCTTGAGAGCCACTAATCATGTTAGTCTGACCTTTGCTTCTGTTGTTGTCATCACATGGTCTCTGACCTCACCTTCCTACCTCCCTCTTTTCCCTTGTAAGGACCCTTGTGGTTACGTTGGGCCCACCCAGATAATTCAGGATCATCTCTCCATTTGAAGATTTTTAATCATATCAGCAAAGTCCCTTTTGACCTATAAGATAACATATTCACAGGTTCAGGGGATTAGGACAAAAGCATCTTTGGGAGATTATTATTCTGCCTACCATGGTGGCTTAAAACAGCAACCACTCTATTTCTCATGATTCAGTGGGTCAGCAATTTGTGTTTGGCTCAGCTGAGCTGTTTTTCTGCTGCAGGGGTCATGCAGGAATCTTCAGTGATCTGGCAAATTATCTGGGGCTGGAGGGTCTAAGATGGCCTTATTAACATGTCTAGTGGTTGATGCTGGCCGACGGCTGGACCATGTATCTCTAGTAGAATTAACCTGGGCTTCACGTAGTAGCAGTGTTTCGAGAGAGCCCAAACTACAAGATCTCTTGATGCCTAGGAAGTCACACAGTATCACTTCTGCCATATTTTATTAATCAAAGCAAATCATAAGGCCAGCCAAGATTCAAAGGTGCGGAAATAGATTCTATCTTTTGATGGAAGCAGAAAGAATTTGTGGTCATTTAAAATGTTATATAACTAACTTTACACATTATATTCACCCTTTAATGTTCCTGTTGCATCTGTAATAATTATGACATTGGGGTGCTCATTTAGCGACTCTTGACTTAATTACTTAGGATTTCACTCTTGAAATGTATTTAACTGTTATCCTACATGGCAACTGGTGATTTCAGAAGATGCTGCAATTTTGTGACCCTTTGACTAAACTTGTTTTAACACTCTGATATATTTATATATGTAGAAACTGCTTGAGCGAACCCGTGCCAGGCGAGAGAATCTTCAGAGAAAAATGGCTGAGAGGCCTACAGCAGCTGCAAGGTCTATAACTCATGCTAAGCGAACCAGAGAGCCGCTTTCGGAAGCAAGTAACCAGCAGCCCCTGTCTGGTGGTGAAGGTAAAAGTAAATTTTTTTTTAATTGATTGATTGATTGATTGCTGCATGATTTTATTACCATAAATGTACAGTAAAAATGAACAAACGAGCCCATCCGAGCACACCAGACGATAGCACATGGAAGGCCCAGACAGGCCAGTCTACAGCCCATCCACATACAGCTCTGGCACCAGCACTGATGGCGAGCCTGGGCCTTGCTGGGGTAGGGGAGAGAGATGGCCAGTCTGTGTGTACATGTTTGTGTGTGTAAGCATGTACACATGTGTGCATGCATGCACACACAACTGTGGGAGGAAATTTTTCATTTCTTTAAAAGAGACAAATCTTGCACATTTCATTATGCAGGTGGAAGAACCACAGTCTTTATGAGACAAATATAACAGCCTCTGAAGGAAGAACAGCCTTCTATTCTATTTTAGGGTTCTATATTAGGCCTAGGACCTATGAGGTTGGAGCAGAGTTTCTTTTATAATAACAAATATTTCAGATTCTGGGCAAGCATTCCTATAATCCCAGCACTTTGGGAGACTGAGATGGGAGGATTGCTTGAGGCCAGAAGTTCAAAATCAATCTAAGCAACATAGTGAGACCCTGTCTCTACAAAAAAAGCACAAACCAAAAAATCCCCAAATATTTCAGATTAATTGATTGAACTTTATTTTTTTCAATCCAAAGGTATCCTTAAAACCCCAAGGGAAGAGAAAAAAAGGAGCAGGGTAACACTTACACTGGTAGTGATGTAGTTTTTTCACCCCAGCAGTGCCAGAACGGCTAACTACTAAGTTCATATGATATCTCTGGCATGAGCAAAGCAATGGAAGGCAGACTGTTTGCACATACCTAAAATTTAATGAGTCTTTTTCATCCTCTGTTTGCTGAACCAATTCTCTAGGGCTGGGCTTGAAGCTTAGGTTGTTAATCTCCAGAAGTAGTGGAATTAAACAAAAACAAATATATGCACAAACACAAACAAACCCAAACTCACCTGGAATCTTATCTTATTCTTTCCTAAATCCTGGCATCCCCAGCCAGCATCAGCCAGCTGCCTTAGTCTTTCACTGGAGTGTAGAATAGTCTAGAGATAATAATCTTTAGTACAACTGTAGAATACTTACATACGGAAAGAGAACATTACAGATGGCAAAACCGATGTTATAAAAAAAAAAGCAGAGAAGAGGACATGGGGCTGGCTTAGTTATTTTGGAAGGTAACCATAGAACAAGAATTTATTTATTCATCTTGAAGGGAGGGAAGGAAATATACATCATATGGTATTCAGCCAGAAAAATAGGGGCCTGTCCCTAGTCTAGGATCTTTCATTTTCACTGTGAGACGAGTTTCCACCATTGAGTACTATGCACTTAAAAACTAGTGTTTGGAACTACATTTTCATGCTTAAATGGAAATATTTGAGTATCAAAATGTAAATGTATTTACTGTTTCATGTAAGAGCTGTAAACCTGAAGAACTCTGTATTTTAAGGTGGTATTGCATGTTAAAATAGGAACACTTTCAAAAAACGATTAGATGAATTCATAGAAAATGGATCCATAAATGAGTTACAAAATATTAGAAAGTTTCATGATATATATTTAATTAGGTTAATGTCACATAAGGGCAATCATGACTTACCACTGATACTATATTACTTTGGTCACTGCCAGAACAAAAGCACTTGGTTAAACAGACAATGAAACTGACCTCATACAAAATTTACATTCTTACTTTTTAAAATCTTAATTTTCCAGGAGATATATTGAGACTCATTCCTGGGTAGATATAATATGCTTTATGTTTGGATAGCTCCTTTTTATTTTATAACTTTTTCACTTATTTTATAGGTATTTGCTCATAGAAGTTTAAAGAAATGTTGTTAAGTGTTTGTACTGGTGAATTCGTTTGGTATTAACCAGATAATTCACTTTTTCTGTTCCCTGCCTCTCTCCTAAACCTCCAGCCAGGTGCCCTTCTACCCTTATTTGTTGGTTATTGTCCATGAAAGATTGTTTCAAAAACAAAAAACCTGGTGTTTATCCTTAGCTCAGCCGTGTGACTTTAGGCAGGTAACTGAATTTCTCTAGGCTTGATTTTTTTATCTAAAAATGAGTTGATTGGGCTGTAGATCTTATAACCATAAATTATATGCTTACAAAGGAATCTTTGATATCAGATTTCTAAGTTACAGAAAGAGAGTGGGGTTTTATTTACTATTTCTTGTTGTAACTAACATCATTTAAAGGAATAGAGAAAGATGGTGTTTTATTAACTTGTTAGGTACCTACCTCAAGTTTTTCATGCCGTGAAAAATTACAGAATTTTGACTGTCTTCTTTAATCCTTTTTAATCTAGAAAAATCTTGTACAAAACCATCACCGTCAAAGAAACGCTGTTCTGACAACACTGAAGTAGAAGTTTCTAACTTGGAAAATAAACAACCAATTGAGTCAACTTCTACAAAATCTTGTTCTCCAAGTCCTGTGTCTCCTCAGGTGGAGCCACAGGCAGCAGAAGTGGTTAGTGACTCTACTGCAGCCCCAGCATCGCTGCTGGGCGTCAGGAGAGGGCCGAACTCAAGATTAGAAGCAACCGCAGCCTCCTCAGTTAAAACACGTATGCAGAAACTTGCAGAGCAACGGCGCCATTGGGATAATAATGATATGACAGGTATAAATTGTATAGATGATACGGTCCATACATCTTTTTCAGTAAGATTCAATTTAGTATGTTGAAAATTTTATCAGTTAACACATGAGAGGTACATGCTTTTGTTTTATCTATATCCTGAGTATCCTTTGCTTGCAAATGGCTCGTATACCTATAGTATATTTATAAGTTGGTTGTGTCCTCATTGAGGTAGATGATGAGGTTCTTGGACTAGTTCTGATCTTATAACTGAATATTATATCTTATATTTGCTATGAAAAACAGTTGAGAATAAACTATACTTGGTATCATTAGCATTTCTGACCTTCAGCTCTATATTTAAAAAATCCTATTTCATGGATTCACTAAATAAAGTATGCAATGTTGTTCAGTAGGGGAGAGAGAAAATGTCAAAAATTATAAATTGAGCACCTGCAAAATGTGTTATTAGTCTACAATGCTGGCCACAGATGAAGTGAGCTAATTCTTGCCTTTCATGAGCCTATAATCAGATGGGGCGCCTGAGAAGTAAATCAACAATTATGCGATGGGGTTATTTGTGCTATGATCAGTTTTATTTATCTCCTGCCTTGTTACCAAAAAAAAAAAAGCCTTGAGATGACTTATAAAAATACTTATATTACAAAATGAGAAAATTAAGGAAATCAAGATGAAGAGAAAATATGAGAAGGAAAAACAAAGAAGTGAAAGGTAAAGTCAGTTTATTAAATACAGGCTATAAGGTCCTCTTTTTGTTAGTGGTCAATGCAAAGAAGTGAAATTATCAATTATATGAACTAATGTTCATAAGCTAAAAGCACAGCCATCTTTGGCACTGAGACCCAAGAGAACTTTCTTCCTTGTGTCCTAAAGATGACTTTGTGAGAGCTAGTAAACTTGTAAGATTTCTCAAGGTAGTCAGATGGCATGGCTCCTAGCTCAGTTCAGTAGAAGCAATTCTAAAATGAGCTAGCATGGTGCATGCAGGTAGACAGCTCAGTGGCTTCCTGGGCCTTACCCAAGGAAGCATTCCTTAAGCCTTTGTTCTCAGCCCTGCTGATGTGTATCAAAATCACTCAGACCTTTGGATTGGAATCTCAGAAGTGTGGTGGAGCCCCAGGGTGTGCTTTGGTCTTTTTTTTAAAAGCTCTTAGGTAATTCTGATGCATACCCAGAATTGTGACCAAGTGGTCTGAGAAATCGGTGGACTACATATATTTCAGACAGTCTTCCATAAATACCAGCTCTTTTAACTGAAATTTTGGCAAGTATTGGACAACAGAGAGTTAAGATTATGTTTCCTGGCAGTGATAATAATCTCAAGAGCAAACACTTCCTATTGAATATGCTACGCTTGTACATATTTTTGGTTCTAGTAGCATTTAATCCTTACAACAATCTTATGAGATATATACTACTTTTATCTTCATTTTATAGAAGAAGAAACTGGGTTCAGGGAGGCTAAGAAAAGTGCCTGCCATCAGCCAGCTAAAATTCAAAATCCTATAGTTGGACTTTAGGACACCTATTCTTAGCTGCTGTAATCTGCCTGACTTTTTGGGACACATAACAAAATGCAGATAGTTTATGGTGTCAATACCTGATCATTTTAGTAGTTGGTGGGGTTAACCATGTTTCTTTATAAAGCCTGAGGAGGCTAACCAGTAAACATGTTACCAAAAACTCAGCACTTGTCCACGAGGCTGAATCAGAATGAGGACAAGTGTTTTGGGGAGGAGGAAAGAGACCTTTTTGTCTCAAAATCCAAATTTCCTGAACATAGGCAGAAGTACAGAGCTTTTAAAGGGAGGACTTCTCAGTTCTAGATAATTGTGGTTAACTATTCTAATAGTCCCATCTCTGCCAAAGACAAAGCCTGTGAACTCCACCAGCTGCCTACCTGGGGGTCTGGTGCCACCTGGGATAAGAACAAAAGGCCTTCTCCCTGCTCCACCCTACCACTGGTCTGAGGCAGGGATGCCCATATCTGTGGGAGGAGGGGCGGCTACTGTGTTACAAAAGTGCCTGAATAGAAGGATGCCCCATTGCTGTTTTGTAGGAATTATCTATGGGTAGCGGAGCACAGATTATCCTTTAAAAAAAAAAAGGAGAGGGTTGTGGTTTACCGTCTGGTCAAAAGAACAACCAAAGCCCTAAACATTCTAGAGCATAAAGCACTGCAGTGATTTTGACTATTTTGAAAGCAAATGTTAAAAAAAAATGCTCACCTCCTCTTTGAAAATAAATCTCATTAAGGCACCATATCCTGTCTGATTTCGAGAAATGAAACTTGTGAATAAAGCATTTGTAATGAATGGTTTAGTGACTGCTAAACAAGACTGTAGGTATCAGTCAGTTAAATGTTTGAGAACTTAGACTAAAATATAATTTATCTGAAGCCTGTCATTCTGACAGAGAATAGTTCGAAGAGCTAGAGGTCTATTAAGCTCATTCCTAAAACATGACAATAAAACTGTCATCTGCTTAGAGGACAGTGTTTATTCTAAGGAAGATGCTAGAGGTATGTAAAAGGGTATTGTAGGGAAGGTGGTGGTCAGGGAGACTTTTCTGGAGGAGACAGAGGCAATTAAGCTAGACTTTGAAGGACAGCTGGCTTCAGAGAGTAGAGATAATCTAGGCAGAAAAACCAGAATATATAAAAAGCACAAAGGCAAGTAACGTGAGTACAGTGTGTGTATAAAGATTTGGTATTCTGGGGTATAGAGCATGTGGTAGAAAACCAAGACATAAATTTGAAAAAAGCTGCAGGGTCCAGATTGGAATTTAACTAAGAGGTGATAGAGAGGTACTGGGAAAGATTAAAGCAGGTACGTGTTTTAGAAAGATCTAAATTCTGGCATCAGAATTGAAGAGGGGTTGGATAGGACAGAGATTTGAAGAAGGAAGTCCAGTTAGAAGACAGATGTTATAATCCAGGTGCAAAACAATGAGGGCCTGTGACAAGGGGAGGCTGGATAGGAGAGATTTAGGGGACTTAATGATTGGTTGGTGGAGGATGAGGGAGAGGGAAGGAAGAGGCCAGATTTCTGGCCCCAATGACTGGGTAGTTAGTGATGTCATTTACTAAGATGAGGAAGAATATGTTCCAGGCAATTTTAATTCAGATGTGTTATTTGGGATACCTATGGGAGAGCCAAAAGGAGGTAGTTAATAGTTGGAAGACCATGAAGGTAGGCCAGGAAGATGGGAGAACTGGTAGAGAATAATGTCACAAACAGAAAGGGAGTGATAATTTTAGAGATGTCGAGAAATATAATGCCTGCAAAGTGTAGAGTGGCACTAGTGACAGTAGCAAGATGAACTTCAGGTCAGTGGTGTAGGCAGAAGGTTGGTTGAATGAGTTAGTGGTGAGTGAATATTGTGCAGGGAAAGAGGGGCGGTAGCTAACGGCAGTGTATGTTAATGAGGGATGTTTATTTTTAAGGTGAGAGAGACATTAGCATACGGTAGTCTCCCCCTTGTCCGTTGGGGATATGTTTCATGACCCCCAGTGGATGCCTGAAACCTTGGATAGTACCGAACCCAGTGGTCATCAATTTCGACACATTTCTATTCGTGTCTTCCACCTGCAAATGTAATGCCTTGACCATCTTAATTAGGCACTTAGGCACTCTGGCCATAACTTTTGCAGCTTGACGTGTGATAGCAAAACTAGCATGAACTTTTTTCTTTCCTCACAATTTCACAGATAGAAGATTCATTTTTACCGTAGATATTAGCAACTTCAGCATATGATTTTTTTTTTCTTTCCTTATTAAGTCAAGAACTTTCACCTTTTCACTTAAAGAAAGCACTTTATGGCTTCTCTTTGGCATATCAAAATTGCCAGCATCACTACTCCTGTTTTTTGGGGCCATTATTATGTAAAATAAGGGTTACTTGAACATAAGCAGTGCGATACCACAGCAGTCGATCTGATAACCAAGACAGCTACTAAATGACTATTGTGCAGGTAGGGTCTACAGCTTGGATATGCTGGCTATGTCCCTGGAGAGATGGTGTGAGATTTCATCACATTGCTCAGAAGGATGGTGCAGTTTAAAACTTATGAATTAGACACATACATAGGAAAGATGATGTGCAGACACAGGGAAAATGCCATCTGTAAGCTAAGGAACTCCTGAATTCACCAGAGGCTAGGAGAGAAACATGGGACAAATTGTCCCTCACAGCCCTTAAAAGGAACCAATCCTGCCAGTACCTTGATTTTAAACTTCTAGCCACCAGAACTGTGGGCCAATAAATTTCTGTTGTTTAAGCCAAAAATAAGTAAACATGAATTGTATATTTCCGGAATTTTCCATTTAATATTTTTGGACCACAATTGACTGCTCATAATGAAATCAGGAAAGCAAAACCAAGGATAAGGGGGGAGTACTGTAAGGTCATATGCTGCATTGCAATGGTTCAATCAATGGTGGACTGCATATGCTATGGTGGTTCCATAAGATTATAATACTATATTTTTACTGTACCTATGTTTTGATAGATATGTTTAGATGCACAAATACTCACCATTGTGTTACAGTTGGCTGCAGCATTCAGTACAGTAACATGCTGTGCAGGTTTATGACCTAGGAACAATAGATTATACCACATAGCCTGGGTGTGTAGTAGGCTAGACCACCTAGGTCTGTGTCAGTACACTCTATGATGTGCACTCCTAATGATGCATGTCTCAGGATGTATCCCCATTGTTAAGTGACACATGACTGTGTTCTTGTGCAGAGAGGAGTTTGTAGGTAAAGAGAGGGGTTATTTGGAGCAAGATCCCTGAGAAGGTTTTGGAGGGGTAGAATTGAAACTTCATACAGTGGTAGAAGCCTTTGACAGGAGGGATCCTTCTTTCCTTGATTGAATTTGTGGAATAGGAAGTGCCATGAACCTTGGCTTCCCTATATACACACCCTGTATACATATACATTACAGGCCTGGATCCTTTGTCAGTTAAATATCACTATTTGAGATTTATTTCCAAATGAAGTAAATATGCAGAAAAAGGTTTGATTTTGTTTAACCCTCTGCTGTGCAATACAGTAGCCAGTAACCGTATGTAGGTATTTAAATTTCAATTAATTAAAATGAAATAAATTTAGCTTTTCATTTGCCATAGCTGCACATTTCAAGTACTCACTAGGTACATGTGGCTACTGGTTACTGTGTTGATTAGCACAGCTATATCTATCATCATAGAATGTTCTGTAGCATAGCACTGGTCTAATCCATTTTTAAAACAAAAAGTTCCTGTGAGATACATAATCTTAAATTGTGCAGTGTTATCACACCATGATTTAATTCTAAAAATATAACTTAAATATGTGGTATCTTTCTGTGTTCATGGTTCATCAAACAATTGAAAAAAATAGGTGTAATAGTGTTTTTTGAAAATTTGGATTAAGTATCATTTGATTTGAAAAGGTATTGTCAAATTTAAATAGCTTGGTAGTTTCATTCATAGAAGAGTTTTTCACTGGTTCTTAAACCTGTTAATCTCATTTACAAATTCTGTATGGAGGGATTCTGGTATTATATACATCACTGTAACTCTTAAACATGGTTTTTAACTCTTTTTCTGAAAACATTTTCAGATAATACTACCGAAAGCTCACTCTTCTCACCAATGCCATCGGAGGAAAAGGCTGCCTCCCCTCCCAAACCAACCCTTTCAGATGCCTCAGCAACTCCAGTTGGGAGAAAGGCCCGTCTGGCCAACCTTGCTGCAACTATTTGCTCCTGGGAAGATGATGTAAATCACTCATCTGCAAAGCAAAACAGTGTACAAGAACAGCCTGGTACCACTTGTTTATCCAAATTTTCCTCTGCAAGTGGAGCATCTGCTAGGATCAATAGCAGCAGTGTTAAGCAGGAAGCTACATGCTGTTCCCAAAGGGATGGCGATGCCTCTTTGAATAAAGCCTCATCCTCCAGCACTGCTGATGCATCTTTGGTTAATGCCTCAATTTCCAGCTCTGTGGTAAGTCATTTTGGTCTTTGGAAGCCTTTTCTTTTTTTGTTTTGAGTGCTAATGCATGTGTGTATGTGTGTGTGTGTGTTTTTAGGCATGTTGTTTTATAACATATGCAAAGTGTATTTATATGTATTTTTAGAATATCAGCTTCATAGAAAGTAAAAATCATAAGTTTGGTTCCCTGTCCCAAGATAAATTAGCAGTTGACAACTGAAATTACATTAATTTAAGGGAAATTCAAAGTCTATAATAGTGGAGTAATGGAGCCTCTTCTTGGTCATTAAAGGGAGAATTGAAAATTAAATACTCCATTGGAATGCTTTGTGTATATATATAAATAGAAAATTTCAACTATTTCTGGAAAGACATAATAAACTAGTAGCTGTAATTGCCTCTAGGAAGGCTAAATTGCTAAACAGGGCATGACACTTTTTCACTGTATATCCTTTCGAAATGTTTGAAACTTTTACTTTGTGTAGGTATTACCACAACAGTTTTTAAAAAACAATTAAAAAAGAAACCCCAAAAAGGATAAAGACTGTTGTGTTCTTGACCATTGTCTTTTAGTGTAGGGCTAGGCTTTGGAATTAAACAGACCTGCATTCAACCCTAGCTCTGTCACATAATTAGAAGTGTGGCTTTGAACTACGCACCTAATCTTGCAAAGCCTTGTTATATGTAAAATGGGGAAAAGGGTTATTTTGAGGGTTAAATAAGGTAAGATGCATAAAGCACTTAGTGTAGTACTTGGCTACATAGTAATTCCTTAATTTATTATAATTAGCCATCAAGTACGTGATACAATTTTGTTAAATTGATATTCACTTAATAAAAATATAATTTGATCTAATACAGTTAAAGATTTAATAAAGGTACTAGTGTAATAATATGAAGAAAAATTTTTTTAAGTGGAGATTATCCTATCACTAATACTTAATTACCCATCAATGTATTATGCAGATTGAGCTATTATAATTTAAATAATAGCATTTTCCAAGTTGATTTTTCTCCTGAACCTTTCAAATTAGTTTAATCTCTTAGAGAGCAAGAATATTTCATTTTCATAAATCTCGTATAAAGGCTACCAGGTAAATAGGATTTGAATTGTTTGTGTATAGGAATTCTTATAGATACTGTGAATGTTATTGTTTACGCTAAGTGTTTTCATGTTTCAGAAAGGTACTTCTTCCCCAGTGAAATCTACTACATACATCACTGATGCTAAAAATTGTGAGGTAGAAAATCCTGAGTTACTTCAAAAAACTCCTGGTAGTCCTCTGAAAACAGAGGTATCAAAACCAGTCGTGAAGTCAACTGTATCCCAGACAGTTCGGTCCAAAGAACTAAACAGAGAAATTTGTCTGCAGTCTCAACCTAAAGACAAATCTACAACACCAGGTTATGTATTTATAAAAAATCTAAAGTTTACTCTTGTCTATATTCAGGATATTTATTCTCAGCATTCTAAATAATCCAGTTGTGAATGATAAAGTGTTGGTTTCCCAGGGCCAATGCTGGAATGTTCCAAATGAGACTTCTTCATATTCAGCTTTAATTGATTCAATGAATATTCGTTAGTGTAGACTAGCCCATTTACTGGTCAAAATATTTAACCTGTTACATTTTAACAGTTTAAAGATGCTTTCTATAGGATGATCATGCTAGATACTTTTTTCTATATTTTTTGAGGCAGACAAAGCGTATGCAACCAGAAATCATGTTTTAGGGGCAAAATGGAGAAATATTCTTGAAGCCAAGTATGCAGAGCAGTGCTTCTCAGTCTTCACTATGAAGGCACCCCTAATAGCAGAGAGAAGTGAATGTGAGAACAAATGACTCTACTCCCAATTTTATTTATGTATTTACTTATTTTTAAGATTTATAAATAATAGAAATTTCTTTTTTAAAATTTTTATTGATACATAATGTACATACGAAATATTTTGGGGGTATATTTAATACATTCATATAATTTTGTAAAGATCAAATCATTATCATTGGGATATCCATTACCTTAAATATTTGTCTTTTCTTTATGCTACAAACATTTGAATTCTTCTCTTCCAGCTATTTTGAAATATACAATAGCTTATTGTAAACTATAGTCACTCTACTGATTTACCAAACACTAGGTCTTATTTCTTCTCTTGAACTGTATATTTGTACGCATTAATCAACCTCTCATCATCCCTTAATTATATTTATGTGTGTATATTGTGTGTGTGTTTACATATAAAAATTCAAAATTTGCTACTATAGTAAACTGATACTCCAGGAAAAGCCATATTTGTCTTGTGACTTACACCTTATGCACACTCCCACATGCTGTTGGTTGAGAAACACACAACTAAACTAAATGGTGCAAATATATGGTAATAGAGTTTACTTTGAACTATATTCTTGTTCATTGGAAAGCCTCTTAATTCTAAGGTTTAACTTTTTGAAAATATTATCTCTCCAGAAACTGTAGTTCATCATAAAGGGGAAGTAAACAGTGAGATGAGAGTGAGGAAGCCGTTAGTTATAGGGTAAGAAGAAACCAGCAGTTTCTAAATAAACCAAAATGAAAATTAGAAGCAATAGGAAGAGCCCCATATGGAATAGGGCTAGTTACTCCCAATTTTCTAAAGACTTAAGACTTAGATAGAAGCATTCTTTTTATTGTTCTTGGCTGCTGGATATACTCAGAATCATATTTCCAGGGCCTCAGAGACATTTAGTTTAGATGCTTCTTTGTATTCCTAGTGGACTCTAGTTTGAGATATGGCATGAAGTGGTAATAAGGGACAGATGGAGTCCTCAAACTATGGCCGCCAATAAATTCTGCCCTTTGCTTGTTTTTGCAAATAAAGTTTTATTGGAACACAGCCACACCTATTTGTTTATCTGTCCCTTGTGGTTGCTTTCATTCTATAACACAGAGTTGAATAGTTGTGACAGAGGTCATATGGTCCGCAAAGCTCAAAATATTTACTCTCTGGCCCTTTACAGGAAAATATTTGTCAACCTCTGATATAGATAAGCCTATTTTTATATAATGCAACCTTAGAATCCTCTTGATGGGCTAATAGATACCCCATTTGCCCTACTTTAAATGTACTTCATACTATTTCAATTGAGTACTGTTTTAAGACTTTGTAAAATAAAGTTGTCATTTTGATAAAGTGAATAATCCCTAATTTTTCTTTTATTTTTTTTTATTTATTTATTTTTTCTTTTTACCCTCCCACCCCCCTAATCCCTAATTTTTCTAAAAAAAAAAAAGGAAAAAAATTCCACGTTTTCACATGTTAGGCTTCCTAAAAACAAGATAAAATACATTGGCTGTAGAAATGTAAGTAGCTGGAAGTTATGGCCAAGACACTTGATGGTGAAGGTAGATTTATTAATATACACACAGTCATTTTTTAGTAATTTAAGTTCTGATTGAGGATTTTCTAATCTCCACTGACATCTCACTCTCCCTTTTAAAACTTCCTTTTTTGGCTGGGTGCAATAGCTCACATATATAGTCAATCCTAGCACTCTGGGAGGCAGATAAGGGAGATTGCTTGAAGTCAGGAGTTCGAGACCAGCCTGAGCAAGAGGGAGACCTCATTTCTACTAAAAATAGAAAAAATTAGCTGGGCATGGTGGTGCGTGCCTGTAAGTCCCAGCTACTCAGGAGGCTGAGGCAGGATGATGGCTCGAGTTCAGGAGTTTGAGGTTGTGAGCTAGGCTGATACCGCAGCACTCTAGCCTGGGCAACAGAGTGAGACTCTGTCTCAAAAAAAAAAAACTATAAATTAAAATAAGATTTGTTTTTCAAGAACTAAATCCTATGAATAAGTTTTAGGACATGTAATTAAATAGAATAATAAGGTAAATTTTTTTAAAATTTTGAACTATTTTCATATTGTTTACTTTGTGAATGAATATTCTTAGTAGAATCAAAGCATTTTAGGGCTGTAATGGAGTTTAGAACTTTTTTTCCATAGAAATCATAATTATTACTTATTTCGAATAGCTTCCAAAAATGTGTGTGTTTTCTATAGGAGGAGCAGGAATTAAGCCTTTCCTGGAACGCTTTGGAGAGCGTTGTCAAGACCTTAGCAAAGAAAGTCCAGCCCGCAGCACACCCCATAGAACCCCCATTATCACTCCAAATACAAAGGCCATCCGAGAAAGATTATTCAAGCAAAACACATCTTCATCTACTACCCATTTAGCACAACAGCTCAAGCAGGTATGGTATACTGCATTTAACATAATTCATCACATGATCTCAGCATACAATCTAGAAATCAAAAAAATGTGAATTCTGATACCAGAGATAAGTAGCATCTTCATTCTCTGTGTCACTCATTTCAAATTGGAAATATTGTCCTAAATTCCGTATGTATTGTGAACTTTTTAATTATAAAACCAAAGACGAGAAAAGTTTCAGTAGTGTTTGGATATACTTAAACATGCTATTGGCTCTTGTGTAAAATGCAGCTTTTGATGGGTTTAGGAACGTGAAAAAGAACTAGCATGTCTTCGTGGCCGATTTGACAAAGGCAATTTATGGAGTGCAGAAAAAGGCAGAAACTCAAGAAGCAAACAACCAGAAACCAAACAGGTAACGTAAACAAGAAATATAAAAGCGAACTTGGCACCAAAATAGTGTTGGGATCTAATTTTAGTGCCGTATCATGAAATAATTCTTTACACACTTTCCTATTCCAATTAACTGTCACTTTCCACTCATAAACTTGTTAAATGTACATACCAATTCTGCTTTTCTCATGGTATTTTCCTATCTCGATGGCACTCTTCACCATATTCACTGATAACCTTAAAATCAAGTTTTAAAAAAATTATTTTCATCATTCATTTGATTTCAGATTCTTCCTAACAGTCTACTTAGATGCTGGTTCTAAAATGTTTCTCAGAATCTGCTTTTCTCATTGATGACTGTATTCCTCTCTCCAATTACCCTATTTTTAGACTATCTGGAATTCCTTCAGACCACATCTCTCCCAGATTTCTCTTCTCCTGTCAAATTTCATTAATCAGCCTTCAACAAGATCCCTACATATGGATGTAAACCATGTTCTATTTCATTTACATGCCTACTGTGCACAAAGTACTGTGTTAGGATATATTTTTAAGCTAGTAGAATTATACTTACAGTGGGGACTAATAGAAAGGACAGGAACAGTAAGTCCTCAACCTTTTTTTCTTCTCACTTGCTGTAGGACATCTCTTCTCTGTCATCATATCTAGATTCGGCCAAGCACAGAAATGCTGGTGATACTCAGCTCTGCTGTGCTGATCTCTCCCATGAACTCTAGGCTTGATGAGCCTTCTATGCTTTGCTGTAGCATCTTCCCCTTGTAGTCTCTGTCTTTGCTTGTGGCTTTACTTTATGCCTTGCCATCTAAAACAATCTGGGAGTTCTTCCTTGGCTCCTTCCTCTGGTTTACTGTGTCTTCCCATCTGCTTGCCCCTGGCACACAGACACATAAACACACACATCCAGTGATAAGTTTTCTAAATCTGTCACCAAGCTGCTTTGTCTTCTGTATTTTCCTCTGCCATTCCCATTTTCACTTCCATAGCTTTGTGCCGAACACCCTGCTTCTAGTCTGGCTACTCTCCAATCCATCTTACTAGTTGCTGCCAGAGAAATATTTTTAAAAGACAAATATTCATGTATTTATTTACTTGCTTAAAATCTTGGAGAGCTCCCCATAGCCACCATCAGAAAAATGTTCAAATTGCTTGGCTTGACATATAGAATCATTCCTCACCTGGCTCCTCCCCACCTCCTCCACAGGTGTGCTTCAGTCCTGCCATGCAGACATTGGCAGTCTCTCAAATGTACCCAGGTTTTCAGATCTCTTTGCCTTTGCCTTGCTGTTCTGTCTGCCTGGAGTATCTCCCTGGTGAGCTCTTACTTTGTTAGGAAGAGGTCAAACTTTAATCCCCTCTGGGAATCCTTCCTTGGACATTTAACCAGGGGCCCCTCTTTTTTCCACCCATGTCATCCTATGCATACCTCAGCTGGAATGTTATCTTCCTGTGAATGTTTTAACTTTGCATTCTACCACTGTCTGTGAGAACCTTATCTACCTCTGTGTTTTTAGTGCTTGGCTCTGATGGGAACCTCAATAAATTTGTATTTGAAGGAAGGAAGGAATGTGCTGATCCTTCCCATCTAGAGGTGGGGAACCTGTGGCCTTCTGGATCCTTGAGTGCGGCCTTTAGACTGAATCCAAATTTTACGGAACAGCTCCTTTTAATAAAGGGATTGGTTCTATGAAGTTTGGATTTGGTTGAGGGGCTGCACTTGGGGATCTGGGGCCCATATGTGGGCTTGAGGCTGCAGATTCCCCACCCTTCATGGACCACTACCCTTATCAAGTTCGTCATTGATTTTAAGTGATCTTTTTCAGTCAATTAATTTGACCTGTTAGCAGCATTTGACATTATTGGTCCCTCCATTCTATTTGAAGTACCTTCTTCACTTGTTTGCCACTATATCATAGGCTCGTGGTTTTCCTCCTATGTCTCTGGAGAGTTTAGGGCAGTGGTTCTTAAAATGTTTTATACTAAATAATTCCTAGAATAGTACAGCTGGTAAATGATGAAACCAGGGGTTCTAACCAGACCTTCTGACTCCAGAGCCTTGTTGTTTAACCACTGTAATTAGTCTTGAGTAATTATCCATGATAAAGGGATATGGGGCCTTGTGAGTTTATTTGGCCTTACATTTTCAAAGCTGTGAGTTAAGCCTTTGAAAGTGAGTAAAGTTGCTTTCCATTACTACCATAGCTATTATTTGTTCATTTACTCAACAAATGTTTGTTTACTATATACAGAGCACATAAGCTTTTTACTCTCCAGGTACTCTTAGTCCATTCTTCTCACCTCTAAAACCCTGTCTTATTGTTTCCCTCAAACTTCTTGCCCACCCTTAAAATAGTCAGAAGCATAGCATTTAATAGTTTATTTTGTTTTTATGCATCAAAAGCTTCTGACTTGAGAGATGTTTAGAATTAGTTTGGAACAAGAATACCTGAGTTTGTATACTGTCTCTGCCAGTTTCTAACTGTGTGTCCAACTTTTTTAACTCTTCTGTGTCTCAGTTTTCTCATCTATGAAATGGAGATACTAGTACCTAAGTTAGGGTTATAGGGAGGATTAGGTGAGGCAGTCTATGTAAAGTGCTTAGAAAGGTGGCTGGCACATATTAAGCTCTATGTAAGTATTAACTGCTGTTATTCTTATTTTTGCCCTTTTTTGATTATTTCTACTATTGCCTTAGTCGTAAAGTCTTTAAACAAATAAAGAACAACTGAATGTTTCTCTTCCATAGCCTTGGTAATGAATAAAAAGACTCAGACTCAGGGAATTTTTTTTTTTTTCTTTACCCTCTGATCTATTTTTGTCCTTTGTTTTCTCAGGATTTTGCCCTCTGAGTAAACTGATAATTAAGTGAAATCTTGATATGGGAACTGTCATCAGATTTTATAGGTGTGGATTGAGATAAGTGTCAGAGGAGGAATTGTTTTTCCCTTTGTGTGGCTTTCACTTTAATTGGTTTATTTAAAACTCAGCTTTAATGCTAATTTTCATTCTCTCTTACCACTAGGAATTACCAAGAATATGAACTAGCACTGAGGGCTTGTTTTGTTCTAAATAAGGCTGGGCCCATTCACATGCATCCTCTCTTTTGTTCTGAGAAAACTTATATAGAATAATATTTAATAATTATCTTGTTCCATTTAATAACATAAAAAGATAAAAATCTATACTTCTGAGAAATAAAATTTACTTCTTCATTTGGTTTTTGTAGGAAATTCACTGTCAGGACATCCCTCTCAAAAAACATCAAGTTGTTTCAAATAATCAGTCACTTCCAATAACAGAAAAGGTGACAGAAAGTCAGACACCAACAAAAACTTCCAGTACAGAACCTACAGGTCAGTGTTTTATGTTTTTATTTCACTTACAGAGCTTTCGGTTTGCCATAGATTTGGAAATTGAATTGGAAAGCAGATATGCTGCTCTGGTGTAAAATGACAGATCCATTCCTTCATTTCCACTCACTTTTTAATTTCCAACCATGCAATGTGCTTCTTCCTTAGTTCTCTTTCCAGAGTTAGAACTCATATACTATTGATAATGGTATAATTACTACAACTTCTTTGGTGAAAGTTCAGTATTATCTATTGAATTGTAAAATGTGCATGCTCTTTAATTCAGCTTTTCTGCAAGTGTTTCTATGAATTCCTGAGCTAGTGTGCGAAGTTATATGTACAAAGGGATGCACTGTAGCACCGTTCGTAATGGCAGTAAGATTTAAATGGCCTAACTGCCCATTAGTAGGAAACTGTTTATTTTATTTTTTTCTATCTTGGTCCAAATATCCTTAGAAGATTGTTTAAATAAGTTGTGCCAGATCCACATAATCAAATATTATGTAGTTGCCTAAAAGAATAAGGTAGCTTTGTAATGACATTTAATATGTTATAGATACTTTTTAAAAATTCATTTTATTTTAAACAATTATGGTACATAAAATTACATATAATTTACCATCTTAACCATTTTTAAGTGCATAGTTCAGTAGTGTTAAGTATATTCATATTATTGTAAAATAAACCTCCAGAACTTTTTTATCTTACAAAACTGAAACTCTATACCCATTAAACAATAATCTCCCATTTCTCCCTCCCCTCCAGCCTCTAGTGACCACTATTCTGTTCCTTATTTCTATAAAGCATTTGACTACTTTAGATACCTCATTAAAGTGGAAGAATCACAGTATTTATCTTTTTGTGA